TAAAAAAAAAAAAAAAAAAAAAAAAAAAAAATAAAAATCATAATTGGAGTAATGACAATTATATATATTTACATGAATATATATATATATATGTAAAAATGAAAAAAGGGTTATATTTTTTGTTTTTTGGTATCATTTGTATCATCATTTAAAGCTCTTTTATTTTTAGAGGGAGTATTATTATTAGTAAGAAGCAATTGAATTTCATTTAATAAATAGGAAATATCGGAATGTCTTAAAGGAAATATTCTCATAGCGGTAAAATTAACTCTTTCTATTCCATTATAAACTTTCTGATTAACACGAACAACAACTTTATATTCTTTATATAAAAATTCATAATTAAATAAATAATCTAAAGTATCATCATCAAGATTTTTTAATTCTTCTGCTTTTTTTCCTAATAAATTATATCCTTCATCAGAAAAAGCTCTTAAATTAATTGACCCAGAAAAATCCATAAAAAGAAAATTAAAAGTATAATTATAAAAAGGTTTGACATTATTTTCATCACAATTCATACATGAATAAACAACATTATCTTCTTCATTAGTATTATTATAATTACTATCTAAATTATTATCTTGTCCACTTGATAACAATTTTTTCTTACATTTCGTGCAGGCAGGATAATAAAATCTGTGTTCATTTTCTTTACTTTTCCAATAGATTCTTTTAATTCTTCCTACTAAGGTATAAGTACCTGATATTTTAGATAATACATCGTTAACATCACTTAATGCATAATATTTATCTGCATTTTGAGATACATCATTAGATAAAATATTTCTCATATTTGTAAATTGTTCATATTTACCAGTAGTATTATACCACTGTAAAATTTTTGCACATTTTCCTTTTAATTCTTCATTTAAAGTTTCCATTTTTTCAATAGAACTTGTAACACCAAATGTACCATTTTTCATATCATTCCAATTTCTTATACTAATATTAGTAAAAATGTATATTTCATTTTCTTGAATTTCATCCTTAATTAAATTTACATTGGTATCCCAAAAGGAAATTTCAAATGAATGTTTCGTATCATCAACAATAATAATATTTTGCTTTGTTATATCATTTCCTTGTTTTGTTTTTAAGTTACTTATTGCACCAATATGTTTTACTATACCTATTAAATCAGCAGTAAATGGAGTTTCTTTTGTTGCAATTTTTATATCTCTTAAATTAACTAGTGATATTTTTTTTTGAATTTTTATTTCTCCATCATCTTTTACTTCATGAATTTCACTATCTTCATTAAAAGTTAATTCATATTTATGTTTTACTGTATTATATTTTGGATTAGCTATTGATACTCTTCCTTTCGAAAAAATATATACTTTCTTTAATTCTATATTATTAAACCATTTATCTGCTGAACTACCCCAAAATTTACAAGAAATAGAATCTCCGTGTACATCTGTTATATCTATACTAAAAAAACTATTATTATTTTTAAAAGTTGATAATTTTGTTTTATTTACAACTTTGGCTTTTATTATCCATTTACTCACATATGTTGTTATTTGGCTAATGCGAAAGAGCAAGCTGTCAGAAAAAAAAAAAAAAAAAAAAAAAATAAAATAAAATAAAAATTATAATTTATATATTCTAATAAAAAATTAAATGTTAGTCTTTGGAAATTATAATAGTAAAACAGTTATTTATATTTATCACAAATTATTATTAAGTTTATTTTCAAATATATGTAAAATATAATAAATATATTTTTTTAAAACATGTATATATATATATATATTTTATGATTCAATAAAATAACAACACTTTCATTTAAATATTTTAAAATTTTATTATTTCACAGGCTTACTCGTTTTCACTCATTTTGAATATTTCATTAATAAAATGATATATTTCTTTAAAATAAGGAAATTATTTAAAAAAAAAAAAAAATTTAAATTTTACATTCAGAAATAAAATATATGCTATTAAAGTTTATATATATATATATTTAACATTTATGTAATAAAAAATTGAAATATCTTATAAATAAAAAAAAAAAAAAATTATAATAAAAAATAAATAAATAAATAAAATAATAAAATAAATAAATGTTTAATTAAAAAAATATTTAAGTGAATATACCAAAAAAGAAATAGATAAAGTATTTATATTATTAATGCTAATTAATTTTTCTATAATTTTTATAAATATTTTATTAAAAATTTTGTTGATTTTTCATATATTTTTTATTTTCCTTTTACATGTTTTCTTTTTTAAATTTATTTTTACACCTGTTTTAGCTAATAATACATCTATATTTTCAATATAATTATTATATATATTAATTCATTATTAGCTTATTTATTTTATCTTTTTTTTAAAAATAAAGAAATATATATAGACAAACACTTTTTTAAAATTAATATACTTCAACTATTATATAGTATAAATTATAAACGGAAAATTATTTAAATAAAAAGTAAAATAAAATAATAAAATTTACTTAAAAAAAAAAAAAAATCTTAGATAGTTTAGATAATAATAAAAATGAAGTAAAAAACAAAAAAAAAAAAATTGAATATAAGATAAAACACAAGATAAATAAAAAATGCTATATTAAAAAATAAGGAAGATTTTTAATATATAATTACGGAATACTATAAATGATACTTAGAAAAATTAGAATGTTCTTCTAATTAAAGATTTTTAGGTTTTATAAATAGAAATCTACGATAGTATTATTTATATACATATATATATTTATTTAACGATATTAAAAAAGTAGTGACTATTATGATAAAAAGTAAATTTTTAAAAATGATATTTTAAATAACACATAATAATGATAAGAAAGGAGAAAAAAAAAAAAAAAAAAAAAATGATAATAACATAAAATATTAGAAAGATTAATATATTATTAAAAAGACAAGCAAAATGGAAAAATACTAAAAATATTTTTAAAAAAGACAATAAGCAAAATAATAAAAAATAACAATTTTATTTTATAGTGTTTAATTAATAATTTATTATTTTCTATTTTTTTCTATAATGAACATTTCTTCTTAATGATAAAAAAAGAAATATTTTATGAACATTTTCTTTTTATATGTATAACTTTAAAAAATATACATCAATTCAACAAAAAATTTTATTTAATTCTATTTTATTTTTTATCATTACATATAATCCAGTAAATGTTATTTTATGTAGAAAGTGGTGAAATATTTTAATGATTAAAATAATTCTTATTTCAAAAAAATATATATAAATTAAATATTGTTTTGTTTTGTTTTTTTTTTTTAGTATAACAAATAATTAAATTAGCTAAATATATTGTAATACATTATTTACATATTTTTTTGTTCTTGTTATAAATTATAATTATAAAATGATTTTTTTTTTTTTTTTTTTGTTTTATTTTATTATATTTTAATTTTATAGATAATCAAAAAGATCTTATTTATATAAATACATTTAAATATTTAAATATTACCTAATGTGAGATTTCTGTTTTTTATTATAAAATGAGAAAAAAAGGAGCAATATAATAACTATTCAAAAAAATAAAATATGAATATAAATGATTTTTATTTTAACGATATAAATATTTAATACTTTAATATATATTGAAACAATTTCCGATATAAAAAATTACAAATTAATAAAAATGTAAAGTTTTCTATGATTAAAAGGAATACTTAAGAATGTCATTATAAAATAGTTATATTTTTATATTTTCGATAAGTATAAAAAAAAAAAAAAAAAAAAAAGAAACTATATAGTAACTCCATTTACACATATATATTTATATGGGATTTATGTAAAAGTTTATTTTCATACATTAATATATAAGAAGAATTATTAATTCTTATTATATATATAATCGTTAAAAAAAAGAAAAATTCTAAATTATATTTTATTTTATTCTTTTTTAAATTATGATTAGATTAACATAAATGGAAAAAATTAGAAATATTAAAACTTTTGTTGTAATAATTAAAAAAAGAAAATAAAAAATTAGTAATTATATATATGTATAGTTTTTAATAATAAGAAAATGAAAAAAATGAATAAAAATGTATTCAAATTTTGTATTGCTATTTTCCACCATAAGTTTATAGCATAAATATAATAAAACAAATATGATATGATAAAATACAAATTTTTTTTAGCATGTTTCTAGAATTAAAAAAAAAAAAAAAAAAAAAAAAAAAAAAAAAAATTTTTTTTTTTTTTTTTTTTTTTTTTTTTTTAA